TTCCCGCCGGGCAGCTCCCAGCCGCTCCTCCCCACGCCTGCAGCGGTGCCTGGGGTTGCTGTGCCCCCAGTGCAGGACCCGGCCCTGAGCCTTGCTGACCCTCACCCAGTGCCTGGGCCCATCGACCCAGCCTGGCCAGGGCCCTCTGCAGAGCCTCCCTGCCCCCCAGCAGATCGACACTCCCACCCAGCTTGGTGTCCTCTGCAAACTGACTGAGGGTGCCCTCGATCCCCTCATCCAGACCATCAGTGAAGATGTTGAACAGGACCGGCCCCAACACTGAGCCCTGGGGAACAGCACTGGTGACCGGCCACCAACTGGATTTGACTCCATTCACCACCACTCCCTGGGCTCGGCCGTCCAGCCAGTTTTTAACCCAGCGCAGAGAGCACCCATCCAAGCCACTTCCCACGGGGAGAAGGGACAGTTCTAGGGCATGGTTTTAACTTCACGCTAGAGCCGTTAGATGGAGCAATACGAGCACAGAGCTTGTCCCTGGAACAGGGACGATCATCCTAGTCACGTTTAGCGAGGGTCAGGGATACTCATCATCAGGCTTTCTACACCAATCTGGACACTAAGCCAAGAAACCAACAGAAAGAGTAGCAGCCACAGGGGATATGTTGTTTCCAATCAACACCATGGAAGCTAAAAAAAAAAAAAAAAAAAATCCTGTTCATCCTGTTCAGGAAGCTTCCTGAGCTATGACTGCAGCACACACAGCACCGTCCAAAAAAATCACACCCATGAAAAATACGTCCAGTGGGAAAATAATTCCAAGAGATGAAAGAAATAGTAGAAAATTGCCAAGAGCTTTCAGTCTCTTGTGAGCGGGGATGTAAACAGAGCTGGGATTCGCCACAAGGCACCACATCAAGTCAGCGATTCCTGGCATGGGAAAGGAGACCAGGAGAGAAGGGCACAATTTTGAAATCCCCTGATTTAACACTTCAAGGCTGAGGCTGGTAAGCGATTAATTTATGCCCAGAAGGTATACATTCCTCTCTGTCAGCAGCAGGTTATAGACAGCTGGTGGTATCAAAGGAGAAGGCTCAATGCTAAAGAGAATCCTCAACAGGAAAATTCTTTTAGGAAGGAGAGTTCAAGTCAAATCAGTTCAAGTACAAGAGGAAATGCCTGGAGGCTCCGTTTAACCCAGGAGCTGCTCCCACCTGCTGGGATGGAAGAGCCCTGGCTCTCAGACAGAGGCATGGCACCTCTTCATCCCCGCCTGCACCAGCGTACCTGACCCAGAGGCTCCAATTGGTTACATCTTGCATTTCTCCTCCTTGGTTCCTTTTCTTAACATACACGACAGCAACAAGAGAGATAGCAGCAAGAAAAATCTAACCAGGAGGATCTGCGGGTAGTCTGCTATTACACTATCATGCAGCGACATAACAATTAACTTGATACCATGGGAGCCTCCGTAATATTCTCCTTTAACTCAGGTATAGCTCAGAAACAGCTGTTTCAGTGTTTTCTGTTAACAGCCTGAATAGCAAATAGAAACATCCACAAAGAGCCCATTCTTTTTATCAGCTGTGGCAACACTTTCTTCAGTTCCTCCTTCTCTTCCATCTGCTCACCACCACTATACGCACTTAAAACTTCTCAGCAGAACACAGTTATCTTTAACAGCCGCTTATCTTCAGTAACAGGAGTTATTAAGGAGGAGATGCTTAAGTAACAGGGGCTCTAAATTGATGTGCCCCGGAAGGCAGGACACGCACCACCCTAGAGGTCTAAGAGCACTGTTTGCAACTTAAAATCAACGTTTAAAACAGCACTGGCAGCAGGAACAAAACATCTCGGCATTCGTGACAGCCCTCGCACCAGAGAAGGCTCACAGCAAGTCTGAAAGCGCACTTCTTCGACATGCCAGGAGAGGGATCCCTGACCAGCGCCCAGCGCTTTCCTGCTTCTCCGGAACAGCGCAGCAGTTCCCAAAGCGGGTCACATTTTGGAGCAGATGGGCGAGTCCCCCAGGAGCCCAGCTGCAGGAGGAGCTACCGGTGAAAAGACCTGGGATCACCCTTCTAATATAGTCCACTCCCTAACCAGTCCCCCAACACCGAGATGTCAGAGATGGGGAAAACCCAAATTGCCACGGACGCGGCTCCGATGCGGGAGATGCCAACTTGTACCCAGGCTTCAGTGAAGGCATCTGCCTGCGTATCACACAGGGAAGGGTTCTAGCAAATCCTCAGGCCCCATCTACAGGGGTGAGGATGAGAGGGAACGGCCTCAAGCTGCGCCAGGGCAGGTTTGGGTTGGGTATTAGGAAAAACTTCTTCCCCCAAAGGGCTGTCAGGCCCTGGCCCAGGCTGCCCAGGGCAGGGGCTGAGTCCCCATCCCTGGGGGGATTTAAAAGCCGGGGAGATGTGGTGCTGAGGGACATGGTTTAGTGGTGGCCTTGGCAGTGCTGGTTTAATGGTTGGACTCGATGATCTTAAGGGTCTTTTCCAACCTTAACGATCCCATGATTCTATGATTCTACAGGGCTTTTCATGCCTTCTCACGCTGCAGAACAGGTAACGCTTTCCAGCTGCACCCACTTATTGTACATACAGAGCACTGCACGCCACTTCACAGGCGCTGTCCTGACCATCACAGCGCATTAAAACTACTACAGTGGAATTTGTCCCCCGGCCTCGTTACTTCCCGTTTTAAGTTCATTCATGTTAAATTGACTTTGGAAATTACCTCTTGCATCAGGTCGATACTTTGCCAAGAGAGGCAAGGAAACCATACTGACAGGTGGCATACTGTTGCATTCAGTAGATAACAAGGCCAAGGACTTTGACCCTACCTGACATCCGGGCGTTCAAGAAAGTGACTTGGCCATAGAGAAAACTGGGTGGCACAAAGGCATGATCCGACGCGGCACTGCGAAACTCCCTGCTGGAGCGTGCTCTGTCTCTGGGTGAAGCTACCCAAACCCAGCAGAGCTGTCCCCTCTCCAGTAACCACACAATCCTACTGCCCCGCAACGAACCGCCATACCTGAGCCAGTTCTTTGATGCGTTTTTCCAAGGGGGCTGGCAGGCCTTCCGGGAGGGATGGCGGTTGCTTGAAATCCTGTTCCAAGCCCATCCCAATAGGATCGCTCCCATCCTCCATGTCAGGAAAGGGACTGCCGGCTGGGGATTCACTGAGGAGCCGCACCAGGTCGAAGTCACGTAGCGAGTCTATAGCCCTGG